AAGAGAAAGGTAAGATCTAGGCTATAAAGTACTATACGCACTTAGACGCTCTTATTTATTCTACTTAAAAGTATTAGCTTTATTAGATTATTCTTATAGAGATTACTATCTTATTACTAATAGCGTATATAATTAAGAAGTTAGTATTTAGTAGAGCTTTTAGAGTAGATAAGCTACCTAAATTAAAAAAGAAATATATTTTATCTACTACTAATTTTATATTTTAGAAGACTTAGAATCTAAAAGGTCTACTAGATCTAAAAGTTCTACTCTTTTACTACTCTTTCTACAAACCTAATAAAGAAGATAAATAGAGAAATAATTTATATAAAGATATATTATAGCTAAAAAAGTCTATAGTAAGTTCTATAATCTTATCTATCTACTACGCGCTTATAAGAAAATAGTTAAATAATTACCTTTATAATTCTAATTATTTATAGTATTAAAATTACTAAGAAACTTCTTAACTTTTAACCTAGGTACTTAATATTAGTACTTAATAATTAGGTCTATTTCTCTATATACTATATTACTAGTCTACCTCTTATATTATATTAAGTTATTATTAAAGTAGAAATATTAACGTAAAATATCTCTTTACTAATTTTAATAGTTACTAAAATATAATAAGCTTAATAATTCTTCTAAGAATATTCTAGAATACTATCTCTATTACTTAATATCTTAGGTTTTAATATATTTAGATTAATGCGCTATATATTCTATAAGATAGTTCTAATAACTAGATATAAAAAGCTAAAAAGATAAGTAAATATTATTATAATCTAACTTTTATAATTACTACTAATAATACTAAAGTAAGTATTAAAGGCTTTCTCTAGCTGCGTAGATCTACTACTATCTATAGTGTACCTATTAGTGTTTATACATTTCTAGATAGATCTTACTAGTATCTAGCTATTTTAAGAATTAATATAGGCCTTTAGACTAGTGTTAATCTAGAAGAAAGAGTATAGATATTATAAGAGTAAGTTCTCTCTTTATAAATACTCTATTATACTTATAAAGAGTTATTCTAGAAATATTAAACTAATTTCTAGTATAAAGCTAGTAGCTTAAGGCCTCTCTTTAGTAAATATTAAACTCTTCTATCTAGAGCTAAATATAATATTAACTAGTAAGAACTTTCTCTAAGATAGAAAGCGCTAGTTTAGAATTATTCTTTAAGGTAATTATTAGTTCTAATAGAGAAACTTCTAGTACTTAGTAGCCTAGCTACTATATATATAGAAATATATATATAAAAGAAGTATCTAGTAGAGCTTTAGACTTATAAGATACTCTACTATCTTTTATAGAATATATTATTCTTTTATAAACTTTTAGAATCTATACTAGTATATTATACTTTATTATAGAGTTAGACTTTTATAAATATAGAGATATACTATCTTAAAGAAAAACTAGATATATTTAATACTATTAAGCTACTCTTAGAGTTTAATATTATAGATATAGATATTAAAGAGTACTTACTAGAATTTTTTATATATATTATAAAGAGCTATATTATAGTAATAGATACGCTATACTTAGCACGCTACTTTAATAAAGAGTATTAACTAGAAAGCTATTATTATAAATTTTTAGAAAAATTATTACTAGAACTATATAAAAGTAAATAGAAAAGCTAGTTTATAGATATAGACTATACTAAAAGAGACTACTATCTTTTACTATATATAATCTCTAATATTAATATTAATAAAGATAATATATATTTTATTCTTTATAAAGTTAAAAGAGCTAGTTATAAAAGTAATAAGAATAAAGAGAATAGTGTAAATAGAGAGAATATAGAAGATATAGTAGACTAAAGTAATAAAAAGAAGATAAGAATTAAGAAGTAAATCTATATATTATATTATATAAAGAGGTATAGTAATAAGTATAGTAATAGAAGTAGAAGTAAAAGAAGTAAGAGTAATAAGGTAGGTTATAAAAGAATCTAGAATAATAATAAACAACCTAATAGTAAACAAAGTAAGTATACTAATAGTTTATTAAAAGTAGAGAATATTTATTATATCTATATACTTATCTTAGAGAAATATTTACCTAGAGTTATAAATAGTAATAATAACAATAACTACAATAAAGATAAGAAAAACAAAGTCTAAACGTTTAGACTAATTAGCCTTACCTATTAGAAGTTATTAATAGTCTAGATTTACGAGCTTCTAAATATAGAACGTATTAGAATTAAATAATATATTACTAGTATTAGAGAATATAATAACAAGAGAACCTTTGTTACCTAGGTACTTATATAAATTAAGTTAATCCCTGCAAATATATAGTCTCTTACTTTAGTAATAAGTAACAGAGAATAAGCAAGTTAATAGTAGGTAGGTAGTCGCTAGATCTCGTTCGATCCTACACTAGCGTTCGTCGTGTCTCCCCGCGAAATACATTATAAGAGCAACTCCGCAACTCTAGGTGCAAAGCAACGATTGTTGAGCTCGTAGTGCGCATCAAAATACACGCTATCTTCAGCCTTGTGGGGATGCAATAGCCTTAGCAGCTTTAATAATAGCCTAGCGTTGGGTCCATCGGGTCTAGCTCGAGAGAACTCTAACACCACTTTCGCTTCACGAGTCAGCCCATGCTTGGAAGTCTCCTATCCGCGATGTAATATATTCTGGTCGCTCCCTCTCACGATTCTGGCAATGCGTCCTCATTCGCCGACCGTTTCTTAACCCAAGTCACTCGTTCCGACGGTTCTTTTGCACGATGCGTTCTTCGATACTGTTAGCCGTTCCGGCCCTTTTATTCTTTAATGTCAATGCGTTGCGCGTCAGCACCTCAAGTGTTTGCGGCAAACAGTCTTGGAACACGCTTACTTGCAAGGATTCGTCTTGGGGAAACTGTTGCTCTAAGAATGGACGTTGTGGTTCCACTACACAACACTGCGGAACTGGCTGTCAGGCTAAATTCGGAGACTGCAAGTCTCCAGTATCTTCAGCGCCCGCGGTCATCCTTTCCTCAGCACCTGCTGCGTCATCGAAAACACTTGTAGTATCCTCGACGAGACTCGTAGTGTTATCGGCAGCGCCCGCAGTCTCATCCGCAGCACCTGTACCTTCGTCGGCAGCACCCGCAGTATCATCGAAAGTGCCCGCAGCATCAGCGGCCCCGGTTACGGGCGGAAAGATCTCCACTGATGGAACTTGCGGCGGAACTTCTGGCTTCACATGCGTCGGCTCTTCATTTGGCAATTGCTGTAGCGCCTATGGATGGTGTGGAACAACCACCGCCCATTGCGGCACCAGCTGCAATGCAGCCTTTGGAAACTGCGGGCCGGTGTCATCTTCATCAACCCTGTCCACGACTGCAGTTCCAACTGTAACTTCGGCAGCTACACCAGCACCCACTCAGAAGATCTCCGTCGACGGCAGTTGTGGTAGCGGAGTGACATGCCTAGGCTCTTCGTTTGGCGATTGCTGCAGCGCCTACGGATGGTGGTAAGCTCTCATTCTTCTCTCTCCCTCCCTCTCATACTAATATCAACTCGCAGTGGAAGCACCGCCGCATTCTGTGCAACAGGTTGCCAAGCTGGATTCGGAAAGTGCGACACTCCGCTCCCCAGCCCATCCCCAAGCACCACGTGTGGCGTCGAAGGCTTCGCCAATGTTGAGGCATATTACGCTTCTTCGTTCAACTTGATCGATGCGACCGATGTTTCGACTTGTGCGACGCTGTGTTTGGCCGAAGCAGAATGCAAGAGTTATTTGTTCAACCCGAAACTTGGAAATTGCGCGTATCTTATGAATTCGCTCGAGCAGGGAGAGTTTATTGCCACGAGTGGCACGGATCAGCTTTTCTGGGAAAGAATATGCGCTGAGGCTAAGTAGACTATTGAGCAAGGATGCTGGAGCTATAGCTGAGGGGTCCTCCAAGCATGAGAGGTAATCCAGGGGACATAATGCAAGGTGAGACAGCGAGCTATAGACTTCAGAGTGTATATATCTACATCTCAACAGATAAGTACATACTTACTATCCATACCCAACATGTTACCAAGAAGACAAATGCGCTTTAATCTTAGAAGGGGCCGGCTGGACCAAAGTCCGGTCCCGTTCTCCACAAGCTATCGTAATTGCTCTGGGCCCATTTTTTTCGCTTCTCAGGTGGGTTGTTAGGATTGAATCGATGGGCGTTCTTTCCAAGCCCACTGCTCAGAAACTTCAGACGTTTAGTAGATATAGGGCCATCAGTAACCATGACTTGCTGCAACCACCTCCTTCCTTTGTCATCGTTGCCAAAACTTGCCCTGAAATTGGACTCAGCAGCTTGTAGCCACACATCAGCCTTTCCCTCAATAAGATGGAGTAGCATGTCAATCCAATAGCAATACAGATCGCGCAAACCTGCTTGTGGGTCGTCGGTATCTCGCTGTGGTCGACCTAGCTGCCCGATATTTTGGACAGCATTGCCGTTCCAATCGAAGGTTGTATCGAAATCGCGAAGAACCCCTTCCATGTACTGTGAAGACGCAGTGAATTTTGGCCAAATCCAGGGATTGCGCATGTAGGAGAAAACTCCGGCCGTATTGCGGTGCATGATTGATGTTCTTTTCAAGTTTTCCTCGTTCGCTGAAGTGAGAGTATTGAGGGCAAAGAAGTGGGCTTTACGCCCGTTCACGTCCTTGTAAAGGAGTGCAAGGCCGCTTGGGTTGTGATTACCGCCCAGGCCATGCGTCATTTGGAACAGGGTGGACATCTCTGTCCAAGAAGGCGCTGTGTGCGGCTCGATTGTTTGTTCGTTCATACCGATAAGCACATCAGCAACCCAATCTCTCGTTGGAGATTTGTATCCACCGGGAAGTGGCCCCTTCACAAGCCATTCCATGAAGTCGGGCAACAACTGGGCTTCATAAATGTGCTCCGCTTCTTAAAGTTAGCGGGCTGATTTGAAAAGATAAAATGACCCCAGCTCTTCTTCCACCGTATCGAACATCCGTGGCTCTAGGGTAATTACTTACTCGCGTATAGGTTTGTGTTTGTTTCAGAGGCTTTGAGTTTGACCACCTCCAATTCACACGGACCGTCTAAGTCTCGATAGCCGAACCACTTGTTAACTCCACTCTGCTTGCTTGCTTCAGAGCAATACCTATAATGCCCGCAGGGCAGCGGTATGCCATCCCACTTGATGAGTTTCTCTGGGTCACGCTTCTCCAGATGATGCTGTTGCTCAATCCATTGCATTTGCTCAAGGGCACTGTAATCGTCGTCCGTCAGGCTTCCGTTCTTGTTGCCCGTCTCGGCGTCACGCTTCTCGTTGATGTCGATGTCACACGTAGGACCTTTGGCGTAAGAATCGAGCCAGCAAGATTCAGCGCGTTTTGATACGGTTTCGTCGTCATCGTCGCCACACAGCGGACATGGCGGTATGTCGCCCACATCAATGGCGCCGGGACAATTCAAGCCATCCAAGCGAGGTACCAACGGGCCGTATACTTGGGCCCTCTTTTGAAAATGACCTCGATCATGTTTGCTTTCATCTTGCGCGATCGACATCGGATCTCCAGATCGTCGCTCCAATCGCGCGGAGGCGTTGACGATAGTTGGGACGTCATCAACAGCACGCCTTTTGGACAAATCTATGCATGCTGGTGAATTGTCACTGGGGTAAATCTGAACGTCGTCGACGGGAACAATGGGGTACGGCGTGCTGGGAAGCGCCCAATCAAACTCGGATGGAGCATCGATAGTCGCATAGAGATCGGCACCAGCGTCTACGCCATAGCAGAAAGAGGAATCGCTGTTCAACTTTAGCTCGGCGTGGAAAGTGACATGGCCATCAGCAACAAGGTTAACAGCGCAGCTGTCGATTGGTATGAAGTCTGCGTTGAAGTCGATGCCGAAGGTTATCGTCGGTTTGACGTGGGCGGTAAGATAGCCCTCGAGCGTCACGCCGTACTCAAACTCGGGATCAAGCACATTCTGCGTCCCCTTTTTCTTCGGAGTCTTTGAAGCGTCTGGGATCCAATCATTATTCGCGACTGGATAGGTTTGCCGAACATCCCATTCTGCGAGTTTGACCTTGCTCTCAAATTTGACGCCCAATGTCGCTTGACCTTCCAGTCTTCCAAAAAGCTTGAAGTTGGGACCGATGGTGACGATGCCGGGCACAGCAAAAGCTGCCCCAAATTTATCCGCAGAAAACATCATGATGTCTCCGGTATCGAACATTGCTGTGACCGCTGCATCGATAACAAATTTGGCGTCTACCTCGCCCTTCGTCCGAAAATAAAGGAAGGAATCACTGAGGTCGATGAAGCTACCCGGTTTGCCCAGCGTGGCGACAAGCGTGAAGCCATAGTTGACGTCGACATCAACGTGACACTCTGCTTTGACTTCTAGCTTGGCGGCCATGTTTGGACAAGTCAGCTTTTGGTCGATGATCTTGAGTATGAAGTCGTCCGAATACGTGTGGCCAAGGTCAAGACCACCAGACACTCCATTGATGATTCCTTTCAACCAGTCAACGACATCACTACCGAACCAACGCTTGTGCAGTTCCTCGATAGACAATGCGCCAAAATGAGTATCATCGCGCCACTCCTCCTCTAGCCAGCGCCTGTGGCTGCCGCCAACATCTTCCAAACGCCTCTTTCGGTGTTTTCCGCTCGCAGTCTTGTTGACAATGTTGTCCCAGTACTCGGGCTCGTTACTGAAGTCAATCCTCATCTGAGTAGTACCCAGATCGCGTGGCACTCGCTTGAATTGATAGTCGAAGGTCAGGTCGTAGATATGGTCGATGACTGAGAGCCCTCGCTTGACAAGGCGATGAGGCAGGCCTTGGTTCTTGCTCACCTCCAAGGTCTTCACCACAGCATACTTGCCTGGTCCGCACCCAGCTGGCATTTCAACGATGGTACCAGGCGCACCATGGCCGAGATGAATCTTGTCGCAGTTCGACTGTTCACTTCGGTCAGTGCACATCATTCTCACGGTGTGTTCTCCCTCGGTAATAGAGTCGAAACAGTCAAACACCTCCCAATGAGAACCATCTCGCTTGTCGAGAGACACCTGCAGGGTGTCCGGACTCGTAAGGACAACGAAACCAAATGGCGCATTGTCCGGTTCCTCGGAGAATGGTACGGTGTTTGTACCACCATAAGTTGGATCCGTCTTGAGATTGAACTCGGTGTCTGCTTCTTCTTCCTTTGGGGGATTGCTGAAGAGAAAGTCGAGGGGAACGGGCAGGAACGGAGATTTCCCATCTGGCGGATCACAGCAGAATGCCCGCTGGCGGTCAGGATGCCAAAATCCACAATCTTCCCCTTCTCCTTCAAAACGTGTAGCTATCGCAACTTGCCAACCTGTATCGCAGTGATTGTCGAAGCAGCTACCCGGCTTGCCGTGCCAAGCGCAGTTCTTCCATCCCTCTTCTTTGCTGCAGCAGAGCTTGCGCTTCTGGTCACTGCCACAGGTATCGTACGACCAGGTCATCTCGTCATGAGTATTAGGGCACGAGCCACCGCAATCCGTCCAGACACAATCTGGCATTTGTGCTTCCGCTTTGCAGCAGTAGAACTTGTGACCGTCGATGCACTTGCCCCCGTCGCCATATCGCGATGATTGCAATGCGACTTCGGCGGGGTGACACTGTCCATTACACGTTGGGTTACCGCCTCTCCATTCACTATCAATGATCAGTACGTCCAATGGAAAAGTTCGAAGAGGTGGGGCTTACCAATCCTCAGCTTTGGGAGCCGATGCAAGGGGGCAACATAATGTAGAGATCCTGTAGGACCCATCCCAGAAATCTTCATCCTCGCATTGCGTTTGCGTGACAGCAATCTCGCCAATCTTACAACTGCTGACGCCACAGTCGGTTACTCGGCACTTCCCAGTACCGGAATCCTGCCAGTTGTCCACAGCCGTAGCGCCTTCGGCTTTGACGCCGAGTGGCTCCGGGTAGAGGACTGCCTCAAGTGCGTCGAGCTGTTTCGTATCCAAGTCGATGGCCCAGATCAGTAAGCCACCTAGTCCGATGGCATTGAAGTACTTGATCTTTTGTTGAAACGTCTCGTGATCGTCGAAGGATACCCATTGATCGCCGCCCCAGGTCACATACTTTACACCGTGCTCATAGTCGTAGTATGGCGTCAGATCATTCTGAGCGATTATATCCATAATCTCGGAGTATGACAATGTTCCAGAGTTTGCTGTGCATGGACCCGGTGAAGCACCACCCTTGAACAGACAACCAGGCTGTGAACATGCAGGATCTGCTAGTTGGAAAGACCGACCATAGAAACCGAGTCCCATGTTGACCTTTTTGGGGTCTACATGGTTACGCCACAGTAGGTCTAGTGCTTTGTTGATCTCGGTAAGATTGGTATGAGCGAGGACTTGGGCTCCGATAGGATTCTCGGCATCCCAGATTCCGTGTAAATCATATGCCATCACATTGACAAAGTCCGCAGCTTGGACGCTGGCTCTTACATCAAAATGTCGCAAATACTACAGCAATGAGGCACGGAGTCAGCAATCTCCACACACTCGAGGGCGACTAGAGAATCTGCTTACCCAGTAACTGGTAGGAGCTGTAAAGGATATCTCCTTGTGCGAGCCACCCGACTTATCAAACTCGGAACGCATTTGTTTGATGAGTTTGGTAAGGTTCTCACCGTCATCAGGCTTGCCTCCACGGTCGGTAGCTCCCGGATATTCCCAGTCGAGATCTACCCCATCGAAACCATAACGATTAAGGAACGTCAAGAGCTTTTTGATGAACAGACCGCGCTTAGCTGATGTCGACGCTAAGTCGCTGAACACCGGTTGCCATATCGTACCGTTGTCGTTGAATGTCCATCCCCCCAAGGCTATAATGACCTTGAGTCCTTGGTTCTTCCGTTTGAGGCTAGCAAACTCGGTGAATGTATCAGTAGATAGCTCCTCCCCATCGTCCATGGGAATGATGTCGAATGTACTTGGGCGAATGTAGCCGAATGAGTAGTAGATGTGAGTCAGACTGCCGACCGGAATGTCTTGCATCCTCATACCAATGCATTTCTTCTCATGGTTCCACGCCTCGTAGTATCCGATGATACGTTTTTGCACATCGCTGCCCGATGCACCACTGTCTGGCTGTTCACAATTGCTTTGACAGCTTGTCTCCTTGTCATCGGTCACCTTGCAGTAGTCATCTGCCATACCGCAGAAACCGAATTGACTACAGCAGACATTTAGAGGGCATGTCTTGTTCGGGGGGTCGGAATGGCGACCACATTCTGCATGAGCATCGCAGTTACTCCAGCAAACCTCGTTCGGGGACTGGCCATTTGTTCCACAGGCCTTCTCTCCGTAGCTGCAAACCCCAGTCTTGGCGCAACAGGCTCCGTTGCTGCAGGGCTTGTCTGCGCTGCAAACATATGGGTCGTCTGCTTGGCGTGCATGGAGGCTGGAAGCTTCGAGTCGAGAGGTTGACGGCGACCTTACAGTATGTGACTGCGTTTTGACATACTCGTCAGGTTGACAGACACCGTCCAACGGCCTGAGTTTGGCGATCAGATCTTCCTGCTCATGGAAAGCCGTCGGAAGAGGTAAACAAATCGAGTCCTGTTCAGCGCCGCGGGCTGCAAACGGTTCATGTCTGTGGACGTGCTTGTGACGATGGTAGTGCCTTGGGGAGGCTATCACCGGAGTCACTAGCAGCGCGTAAGAAATGAAGACAGATGAGAAGACGACCATCTTGCAGTAACATGGATGGTGAGGGCTTCTTGGTACCACTGTGCGCCATATCAGTATACGGACACTTTTATGCAATCGCTGATTGACAGAACACGTACCTCAGATGCCACTCCCTTTACGTGCTGATGCTGGCAAAGCAAATTTAGAGAGGACTCAAAACTAGAAGCGCGAGAGCAATAATGAACTGCCAAAGGCTAAAGTGTGGTCTATGTTCGGTTGCAGGAGCTCCACAGATCTCTGAGGACGTTCGACGGTCGGGATGGCAAGGGCAACAAAACGATGAACGTGCCAGTTCTATTCCTCAGGTAGTTGTGGCAGGGCCAACGTGCCACTCGAAGTGTGAGCTCCACCGTCTTGCCTCTGATCAAAGGTAAAGTTGAGACTCCAAACTCAATAAGGTATCTTCACCGGCTGCCAGCCCGACCATGCCACTAGTGAGTGGGAACCATTTGTAGCGCAGAGGCACGGCACGTCGCGCGCATCATGGTGGAGCTTCTTGTGACAGGCTTCTCTCTTGGGTATCGTGAAGGTCGATCCGAAACTGTATCGAGGTAATCTCAGCAGGTGCACTGATGCCTTCCGAGGTCCTAGCCGCAGGAGGCTAGAGATGCCGAAGCTTTGGAATTATCCCGCCATGGCCGGCCGCGCTCGATTGCGGAAGAAGCACAACGTGCTATAGGATCATTTGGGTCCCTGATGGTAGAAGCCAGCTCTTCGCGCGCATCCATGAATCGATACCGTGGTCGATAGTAGGGATTGAAGAACAAGTACGACGGTGTGTCACTATTTTGCATCGGTTGCGAAGCGCCCGCGGACCCTGCCAAGACCACCTAGGTAAGCGTGGGGACTTGCCAAGACGGCATGATGCCGAATTCAAACGATAACACCATGCGGCAGCATTACGGCTCGTCAGTTGAAGACCCGATCGAGGACAGTGCTAAAACCTTCCTATGATGACCCATCCCATCTTTGGTGCGATCCGCGCCTCGCTTATGCAACAACTCGATACCTCGATTGTGCCTGAGTACCTAGGTATTGATCGGTTGCCTATGTAGACGGAAAGCCAACGGCACCATGAAGTGCAAGGCGCCTTACGAGATGTCGGGTGCCGAGTGAGGTGTTTGCACCAGACTTACTACCTGTCCAACCTGACAAACCCTTGCACGGGTCCGTCTGATCTAGAACAGACGGAATCTTGTGCAGCCTTGGTCCGTGTATATCGACTACGCCGCATTCCCCACATACAATTTATTTGACTTCGCTAGGCATGCACAGTACTACGCTACGAGAACTGTACACACTACTAGGCTAGATTTGTCCTCGACTCAGAGACCCATCGCCAGCGCGCCAGTTGTGGAAGTCCCTCCGGATGGCAGCGCAAGCTTCACCTTCCCGGCTGTATCAACCCCATCGATACTGAGCAGAGAAATTCATTCAGTCGTCGAGCATTTCGTCAATGATGTTTTCACAAGCGATGGTGGTATGTTTTACCTTGTCCGCTTTCTCTTCCAGCTGCGATGCCTTCCAACTTATCAGCAAAGATACGCTGCCAGCGGACGATCTGTCGATAGGTTGCGTTGCGGCTCTGACGAAAGATATCCCCAACTGTCCACGGCAGATTAGCAACTTTGCGACGGGATCTTACTTTGACGTCGATGCTCTGGAAAAAGCCTGCACAGCAGACTGCGCAACCTCGTTGGCGACGTACAACGCGGAAACCGCTAGCGCATGCGGTTCAACAGATGTTTATAGCGTCACCGAAACGCGCGTTGCTCCCGTGCGTTTTGTGTCGGAGCTTCTCTACTACTACTTCAACCGAACCTGCATACAGGACGGAGAGCGATGGTGTAATCGAGTGTCATATGCAATGTCGAACGACAATGCAACATCAAGGCTGGTGCTTAGTGACAAGGAGGCGTCCATTCAAGATGCGGCTCTGGAGACCGTTTCATCGCCCATAGACAGTAAGTCATTTCAGTAACATATCGCCAAATCCATTGGGATGTGGAGACTAGTCACCATCATCTTATCATACCGATCGATGGTATTGAGCTCATCTGACCTTTACCTAGGAAGACAGCAGCAGATGGAGGTCGACATGTGTGACAACTGTATCATCAAATCATACCAGTTCCAGGCCGGGTCTCCTATCAACGGCGGATATGCACTCCAATCGATGTTCAGCTCTTTGACAGCAAGCTGTTCGAAGACCGGCTTCCCGCTGGCGAGCTCTACTACGCCATTTGCAGGGTACTCCATCATCGTAACAACCTCTCTAAGCATCTCACTAATTACACTAGAGCGACTCCTACAAGCCTTGAACCGGAAGGGTGTACCGGCAAGACCTACAGCATAAAGTCCGGCGACACTTGTCGTTCAATCTCCGAAGCTCAAGGGATTGCCACCTCGTGGCTTCTCTCAGGCAACGGATTGAAACCTACTTGTGTCGACTTCCCTATGACGGGTGATCTTTGTATCCAGAGCACTTGTAAAACTTATGTTGTCCAACAGCACGACACATGTATTGGGATCGCAAAGGCCAATCGAATAAGTCAAGTGCAACTATACACTTGTAAGTCCGGTTTAGTCCGAAGACCGCAAACACGGTCAAGACCCCAAAAAGGAAAGCTTAGCTGATGCATTTCCTCAGGGAACCCAGTCATCGGATACACATGCAACAAACTCGACCAATCCATTGGGGACTCGATTTGTGTCACGCCTCCAGGTGATGTCGACTTCAAGCCCAGTCCAAGTACAACATCGATACCTACATCTTCATCGATTGGAACACCCACTGCTGCCCCGATACCTAGCGATCTCGCCAGTGGCACAAATCGCCATTGCGCACATTATTATCAGGTCCAACCTGAAGAATATTGCAACCTCATCCTTCTGAAGTTCAGCATCAGTCTTCCCGACTTTCGCTTCTTGAATCAGGGCATTAACGATGATTGTACTAATCTATTCGCATTTGAGAGTTACTGTGTACAGGCTGTAGGTCCGGTGGATCAGTATCCCGGGCATCCAGACTACCTACCTCCCGCGACGTCTACGATGGATACACCGTACGAAAATTTTCCTAGAGCGACCTTTACCCCACCTTCACTCGTCGGGTTGCCTACGCCCTCTCCACTCGCAAAAGGCACGAGAAAGGATTGCTTCGTATACATGAACGGTGCGAATCTAACGGTACCGGATATCTTGCTCGATCAAGCCGCCTCGGCTTGCGAGGTGCTTGCTACAGGGTGGACGATTTCGTTAGAAGAATTCAAGAACTGGTCAGCATTATGCCAACAACTGTTCAAGAGTGCGAGTGCTCATATTAAGATAGGAACCCATCTCTTCAGACTGAATCCACGGATTGCGCTCCAGCAAAGGACCTCCGCTACTGCATGGCCGCGTACGATGGTGCACTGGCTACGCAAGAGCCGATACCAGAAGAGACGAGCAGCCAATATCCGATCAGAGTGAGTCTTCTGGATACTACTAGTGCAGGTTCACCTTAGTACTAAAGTCTGATCGCGCACAGGACGGAGTCATTGAAGGATGTATCGATTATGGGACCATCGTCCCACCGATGACATGTCAATCGTTCATCATCAACAATGGCATCACCATTGCGCAGTTCTTTGCAATGTGAGTCAAGATGCAACCCCATCCCATATTACGCATCCAGGCGCGTCGTACATATTCGCTGACCATCTCATGTCGTAGGAATCCCGCAGTAGGGTCAGATTGCAGTAACTTATGGCTGAGTACGCTGCCGTCATTGCTCAATCCACTTCTCACTGTCTAACGGGATTGCGCTTTACAGACTACCGATACTGTGTTCGTACGCACGAGATAACCCCCGATACAACGACAAGTGTCACGAACCCCGCGATAACGCCCAGACCAACAAGCTCGGCGCCGCCAACATCGTCCGGACCGGGAGCACCTGGTCCAACGCAGCCTGGCTCGGCTCATGATTGTAACGCTTGGCATGTTGTCGGACGTGAGTACCTCCAACGATCATGTCCTGGTCTAGAGTGCGCGGCCAGTGTTATGAAACAGCTTGCTAACGGGTCCGGTTTAGCCGGTGACACATGTTGGACTATCTCTCAGCTCTATGACTTGGCACTTGATCAGTTCTACCAGTGGTGAGTCATGGCACGGATTACACAAGATAGCGTGTCTGGGTGCTGATCATTCGACAGGAATCCGGCTATTCAAGATGAATGCGCGACTGGTTTTTGGTTGGACTATGCCTATTGCGTAGGAATTTCAGCTTGAGCTTATCAGCTCCCAGTGGGTGCCTTTTGCGGAATGTCAAGAAGTCCAAGTATGCACGCAACTCGACTTCAGGACTGGGGCCTTTTGGGATATAGCAATAGTGACGGGGGCGTATATCGAACAATCTAAATAGAATTATACATATAGCCATGTGAAGCTGTCAAGTAGGGCCGGCAATGGAGATTCTGCGACAAACAAATCACACATCTTCTACCAGGTAGAACGACCAAGCCTTATCGCCTCCTCCCACGGTTCATTCGTTACATTGTTTGTTGCAAGAAAGGACTTGAAGTACATATCTTCGCCAATCGACTTGACATTGTGATTTTCCAGATGGCGTATCGTTAGTGGAAAGATGGCGATGGCCGGAAGAATGTCAGGTTCATCTGCCCCGTGGTCGAGCGAACTATACACATTCTGTGGAATAGGATCGAAGGAGATGCGACGTACGAACTGTTCGTCTGTAGTCCAATCAGGTCCTCGGTAGATGTAGATAAGACCATGGTAATACTCGGTGTCCGGGTCTTCGATGTAACTTGGTACCAAGCCGGGTAGACTACCGGCACCGTTCTCACTGTCCATAGTGGACGACAACCCTAGTGTTTCGACCTGACGTGTATAGTCTCCCCGGCTGCGCTTTTCCTCACGATAGTGGGCGATGCAGGCCTCGTCGGAATCCTCTGCATTTGGGACATGTAGGAAAAATAGCTCGAGGCGGAAGTGACAGAAGTTCTCCAGTAGGGAGCCTTCTCTGATCGCCTTGAAGAGCTCATATGGCTGAACATTGTCCGGGTTGACGTCCGGATGGGTGAAGTATATGGTGAAATTGTAAAGCGGTGGAAGAGGACACGAATCCAGGCCCTGGAACACCATGAGCGCGTTGTGCCTGAAAGGAAGAACATGAGTTATCCTGCGTGGGTGGCGAGCCACTCTGCGGCCTCCACGAGTTACGGGCATGGAGAGATGGGGTTGGGTAGAGCTGATGGTCGTGGTCTGATGAGGGTTACACGAGGTAGTGTTGGCGTGCACATGGACAGGTCACATGTCGGCTGGTTGAGCTACGTGCGCCAAGCGCAAATGAAATTGGACTCCTTCGTCCGGACCACACTGCGCAGCTTCTTGATTGCAACGCCCTCTGAATTCCATCACAAATTGTGTCTAGATAACTGCTCTGTGTGATCATGTGTGATCCAAGCAGGCTGTATATGGGTTGTTGCCTAGATGATGGGTGACAGGCTGCCACTGGTGGGCAATTCGGGAGTAGCATGGTCGGCGCGCACGTCCGGCTTGTCGCCCAAGGCCTCTGAACCAAGACAGAGCTTCCGCTCCAGCAACAGCCCTGGAGCTACCGCCCGGATCAATCACGAAGTCCTTCCAAACTTATGTACCATGTTTTGACATCGACATATTGATCGTACTGCGCTAATTATTTGGTCCACTCCGAACCAATGCGATAGGAATACCCCCCGAAATCCGCTTCCAATGAGCTACACGACCAGTCGACATTCACACTTCCTCAGCGGTCACGTCCACATGAGCACCCGTGTAGGCATCTCTGCAATCGTATCGCAGCACATTTCCACCATCGTATATCCAGCGCATCTACGGACAAGCTCGTGAGAACCGCTCGACCGCGCGTTACAATCCCGTCTATCGCCATGGGACTGCCTGGATCACAACTAGGGGCGGAGACTCATTATATTGGTACTTGGTCGACATGATCAAGTCCACCGGATAGGTTTCTGCGAGAGCGACGCTCCAGAGCCGACACCACAACTTGCTTTGAGGTGCGCTCAGTACCCTGCGCCTTGGGATGAGGCTGGAAGCGAAGCTGGTCGCGGCGAGGCGCGCATAGAGCACATGCACGAGCGCCTATGGCATCAGCTCATCGCAGCGGTACGCAATCGTAGGCATGAAGCTCGGTCATGTCAAGGTTGCGAGTTCCCTGGATATACATAGTTCTGGTGGCTGGCCGCACGCATACATCGACACGAGCACTGCGCATCTATCACAAGGACCGATAGTACAAGGTTCCGAGGCTCGTTCGACTTCGATGCGTCATCTGAATTGGCACTTGGAAGCATTGCTCATGTCATGACTTCGAAGGCTATTGACAGCTCTAGGACTTTGAGCGAAAGTGCTCTGCTTCACTTTGCGCCGACCTTCCCAGTCCTCGAATGTGTCGCCATATACCCTCGTGTTGGCTTTCGGCATGGGCTCTCAAGACCATACTTAATGATTGATATATACTACGCCTTGTTGAGCTACCTAGAAGAGTCCTCCTTCATGATCCACTCCTCACTAGTCGCATCATTGGTGACAACACCCGGCGAATCATAACCATCGCGCAGCTTCTCATCTCTGTTCACTGAGATACCAGACCCAGACACGGTGCCGATGCTAGCTTGTGGCACCTCCTTTCCACCTGCAGCCCAAGCGCGGGCGCTTCCCGCATGTTTCGCATCCGTGAACTCGTAATCTTCCTCACGACCCGACGGCTTACCTGCGCCTATCCTGAATCGGTTGCCATTTCCAAATCGAAAGGGGGACTTGCGCCAGGATGCTCCGCCAGAACTCGCTGCGTTACCGCTGTGTGCCGCCGATGGTCCAGCAAAGATTCCAGGAGCCATCATTGCTAGAAATGGACGTAGACAAGGTAGACAGCCGCTCATGATACCAACGTTGAACTCGATGCACAATGCCATAGTGACGCGAGACGCAACCCCTGCGAGAAGGCTATGTTAGCACGATGACAGTCTATTGTGGAATGGTACTGCTCACATGTGGTATCCCATGTCTTGAAGTAATCCTGCGACCAAACAACCTTCAAGATGCCACCGACGCATGTCAGGACGCCGAAAGAGAAAACCGCGACTAGATGCACGCGTTGAGACAGCGGTAACTTGACCTGCCACAGTGGCGCGACTGGCCAAAGGAACACCACAAAGTCCGACACTACATTGCAGATGCCGCTCGCGGTGAGTAATTGATGCGAGTCCAAACATACTTTGTCGATAATCGTAAAATCCCAGAGTGACTGGATCGGACTGGAACAGAAGATTTTAGTCGGGATCAAACATCTGCCCTAGGGTTCATGACCTACACGCATTGCAGAATGTAGAGTGCCGACGAGATGACACCCCACAGAAGCTGGTACCCAATCATCGTCCAACAGAACAATTTGTTCGTTCTCGAGGGGAAAAGCTTCAGGTACGTCATACAGACGGAAAGCTTTGTGAGTGTCATAGAAGCATTGTACATTGTGACACTCGCAACGTTGTACTAGAAGCCATCAGTATGTATGTTGAGACGATTGGTAATTGCATACCTTTGCAGAGCTCACAAACGTCGTCGGGTTCACATCATAGAGATGACGCCCAAGAGAGTCGGTGGTTGTAACTAATAAGCACACAGAAATCGCTAAGGCGAAGACCTATACATGTTAGATACGTAGCATAAGAGCATAGGGCAAACATACCGCTGCGCCAACCATAATCCAGTCATCGGCTCCTACACCTGACTTCTGGTTCGCCCGAACGTAGATTCTGCCAGCGACGAAGAGCACCATTGGGATGGTTGTCGCGTATATTGCAGCTTCGACACTGCCCCTTTGCGAGACTGGGTCGACATAGTTGGGTATTGGCCATGTTGCGATGATGGCTGGCGTGAGCGCGGTTCCAGAAGCCATAACAACGCCGGGATCAAGGTTCGTGATATGGGTATGTTTGGACTTGTAGTGCCAGAATTTTTAGTTTGTATCACAAACTCAGAGGCCACGCGCACGGCATGTACACAGGAGTGTCAAGGTTCCAAGACAAACCCCGGACTAAAGAGACAGTGAAGACTAAGTATCCCAGTGCAAGGTAGTGCTAACATTAATTTCAGAACGCTTGCGGGTTCAGGTGTATGGCTCAACCTTACTCAACACGTCGTAACTGACACCAGATCTAACTCCGCCGTTAGACAGCGTACCACCAACGCCAGTTCATTAGTGCACGCCATCGTGCCCAGTACGCGAAAGTAACCGTCGAGTCGCCAATCAATTTACCGTAATAGACAATCAGGCCTCCTCTTTGCACCGATTTCAAGTTTACGGGCTTTTGCATGATTGCCATCTAACCACGTTACTAGTAGATCAGTGCGTCAGCGATCGGCTTGTGGGTAGTGCATTCACTTGCAGCAACTGCTGCAACTGGTGTTCCCTTTTCAAGAACCGTTCGGAGCATTTAGACTGTGGGGGGATGTACCTGGCAAAGCATGATACATTTTCATTTGTGAGAGTCGAGTCGTCGTCATACCATACGTATGCGACAGTACAAGCAACAAGGAATAGAGCGCACCAATTTCTATAATGTGACAGGTCTCCTCGACAACCACGAAACAGTATAGTCAAAACATATGCATCTACCTAGGCATGCTTGCAGCCGATTGCACTCATCTCTCGCGCCATCTCGTACAGATATCATCGAGATGCGGCCTCGCCAATCGGACTCGGGGCCGTGAGCGTGTGGATATGCGTGAAATCTCCGTTCCACGGTCCGGTGCACCTTAAAAGCCCGCTGACTAGGCTGGTACCTGACGCTAACTCACCTGAAACACATGCGGGTCATCTAAGCCGCCACAAGTCGAAGCACACAAACGAGCTGTATGACAGGCTCGTGGAACTGTCCACCACGTTTATCGCGTGCGAAGGAGCTCCCCGTAGTCGCATGGTCACCAAGTTCGTGCCCGTGATGGAGCACTGCGATAGGAACCTAGATGTCCTTGGCCTCTGGAGATGAATTCGACTGCTTGCGTTCCCTGCCTAGGTGATCAAGCCTAGCAACTTACCACCCAGTCGCAACATCCGTCTACGAGTCAAGAAGCGCGCGATTTCGGTACGAAAACCTGGTGAGGCGCAAAATGCTTATCACGCATGATGGCTACCTGGTGGCTGGGTGCAACGCCCCCGCTCCCGCAATTCCCGCGGCGTTCTTTCCGATTGGGTCGCATACAAGTTTGCGGTTTCCCCAATCTGTACTATTACCTAGTCGCCGACATGCTGGATGATATCCCTATGCGACCCCCGCAATCACGATGTTAGGCAACGAGGCGTTGGTATGGGGGGCCTTGGGCCGTCAACTCTGTTTGGCTACGCTGCGTGGCTGCCTCCCGAAGTTGGACCCCCGGACTGTCATTGAACACTTAGACCGGCTTTTGTCCTTCCCTGACAAACACCTCACGCCTACCGTTCACACCGTGTAGGTATTCGAAGAGCTTTTCATGCCAAGTGGCACAGCGGAGAACACTAAGATCACTAAAGAATACGATGCGTTCAAGGCCGTTGAACAGCAGACCACCGCTAGCATGACTCAACATTGAGATAGGCCGCTTGCGATCTACATACACCTTAGGTATCACCGCATGAGCAGACAAACTTAGGTACCTGCTGAGCATTTTCTCCGAGAGATACACATCCAAGGCTACAGTAGCCTCACGCGATCTCGTCTGGACCTGATATGCACCGAGCGCAGTGTAACACTTCACCAGCTGAAATGACCATTTGCCGCTGCGGTTCACCGGTAGCGATCCTTGATTAATAGTGTGTAGCAAAGAAGACGTCCAACGTACGATCAAAGGTTTCGAAGCTGTCGACCCAGATTTGAGCTACGTCAACCATGCTGCGCAGTTGAAGCTACCTGCATGTACTTCTGCCAAGCGATTCCTTTCGATACTATCCAGGAAAACCCTTCCATCTCCATGCCGTACATCCACCGTTCAACGAGTACCGTCATTCTTGCTTAAAACGTTCACCTTCCGTCCAAAAGCGGCCCCGTTGCTAATAGTTTGGCCCTTCTGCTGCGTCTCTTCTGCATCCTCCAGTTCCACACCCTTGAAAACATACGACCCCATACAAACAACAAAGCCTGCCAATTCGAGGGACACTCCCTGCACCGTGCGAAAATGAATGTGTAACATCGTATCCCAGTCCGCAGGGCCAGAGTGCATCCAATGCAGGCGCAGTGATTGAGCAAGAACGAGGATACCCAGAACGACGAGAGACACACCAGGTATATAAGCGTAGCGCCACGGAATTAGCTTAGCGATGCTTTGGAGGACCGTATTTGTGCGCTGTTCAGAATCGGTCATGACTCTCATATCCGGCAACTGTAGGTCCCTGAAGACGAGCCAGATCACACAGAGATGGGCGCCGGCTTGAGATACGAAGTACCCAAAGACGAGGACGAGCCAGATCAAGAACTTGTAGTATCCGCCTGGGTCCTGGTGCGTGCAAACTGTGTGAAACGCGTGGCCGAAAGTGAAGAACCCGAGCAGCAGGATGTACAGGCCGGGTATGTAGAGGTAGCGGAAGGGGATGCGATAGAGGACTTGGAACGTTACACTGTTTGTTGTTAAGGTGTCGTCCATGTTTAAACGCGTGCAGATGTGTTGTAGATGCGTGGTAGATGTGTGGTGTGTTCTGGTAGATAGTCGCCCCTCCGGATGAGACGGCACAGTGGTCCGAGGAAGGCATGCGAGCTGTGCCGCATAACCTCGTTGAAAGAGATATTCAGTATGACAGAATGCGAATGAAAGCACGTCTTGTTAGCTAACCGGTATGACGCTATCAGTTGGTTTATTCTGCACCTGATTATGACTACCACCCGACAGGGTAGGTGCGACTTGGCTCACTGAACGATCTGGCGACCAGTCTCACGAACGCAAGATTGTCGGCCAGCCTGAGGTCTCTGCAGTCATCAGCAAGCAGTCTATATGAGGATTCAGAACCTGTCTCATGCGATCTTAACACCACCGCTATGCGTTGATCAACACCGGTACAAAAATAGCACAGCGCACTTGCTCTTCCCATTCAGCACAATGTCTTCGGGGCTTGGAAGTAGGGGTACAATCGCGCAGCCTTGCTTCTCGAACTGATCAGCGAATGTTCGAATTAGGAATGGATAATAGAAAGTCGAAGTTTGGTAGCGATGAAGTGCGAGATGTTCAATTAGGATGGAAATTCGATTGTTTAGAGGCCAAGCTCGTTTTTGACGACACTCTCGTGAGCGTAGTATGTTGAGCCTCATGAATGGTAATAGGACACCAAACGAGTTGCCCTTAATGGCCTGGACTCATGTGTAGTGCAGTGACTCGCTTCTAGATGAAAGCCTTCTGGAACTCCTCGTTCCGCCGATCACGGTGTCTGTGGCGGTCTCCATCACGTTCCCTACTCTTGCTATGGGCGCGTCGTTTGTCACTGCGATGCGAAGACCTATGCTCGTGCCTGTCACGGCTACGACTCCGGCTCCTATGGCGATGCTTCTGGCGCGAGGATGAGCATGCCTCCTTCTTGGGTGTCTGATGCTCGTCATCTTCCACCTCCCGCCTCTTCCTTTTGAGATGCCGACTTCTCCTCTCCTCTCGCTCTTGGGCTGACCGTAGCTCCATTAGCTCACGGTCACGCTCTGCAGCCCATTGCTTCCTGTCCTGCTTCGACTTCTTCAGCTGTGTCTGTGCTTTCTGCATGAAAGCGAAAGGGTCGTTTGTGGAGATGCGGGCTTGTTCCCTCTCTTTACGGCGCGGGTCCTCATTTCCCCAGACGTCTTTATTCGTGAAGCCTGCGTAGAGTGACAGGTCTTGCTTGGCTCCAGTGTCGGATACAGGCTTCTGTACGGCAGCGTACCAGGGTCGGTCGATACCACCCCTTCCTGCTGCATTGGAGAAGCGCATGGTGAATTGGTCTTCGATGACCTTTTCTTTCCTGCGTTTCTCCTTCTCTGCGTCCGCATTCCTCTCGCGTTTGATGGCCTCTTTCATGTCCACCGGGAACAAGTCAATGTGACCGGCGTGGTCCTCCAAGGGGGCATCGGATGCGGTGCTCCGTAGCTTCAGCACTTTCGCGTCTTCTGCCTCATCCTCAGGCCGAGCCGTGAGGGACTTGGCCATGCGTATATCGGCGTCGGTATCGTCCTCACCTGCAAGCCTCCTCCTCTTTCTGTCATGACCGCGATCATTGGTGTTGTCTGAGCGCCGTGATACTGGCGCCTTTGTTGGCTCTTCTTCCGGCAGTGGCGGGGGCGTCCGGCCTCGAAGGATGGCAGCACGTCGCTCAGCGTCGAGCTCTTGCTTGCGCTGGTCATCAGCGGCTTCTCGGGCAGCAGCGGCGGCCTCGTCGGCCTTGACCCGCGCGATGTTGTCCGAGTTGTAGACGTTCCATGATTTCTTGCCTAGCAGATGCCTGTGGACTGTAAGCGACTGCGCGTGCACAGCTAAGTAGTGAGTAAGGGAACTTACAGAGGCATGATGGCAGCTCTCAAGGACACAGAATCAGAGAGTGAAGTGCGCCGCACATGGTCGGACTCGCAGGCTTCTTAACTGTGGGCAGCGAGGTCGGGCGCGGAAACATCGCGGTACCCGTCGACGCGAACGGGAGCTGCCTTGCATTAGCGTCGAGCGGGGAGGCAAGCGCAAACCATGGTGCCTGCCTTCACCCCAGCTCCCCCACACTGCTATTGGCATAGACCAAAAAGGCGACTGGGGCTTTTTCCCAGATCTATCGCGTTCACCGTGTCGATCTGGTCTCGTTCTCCTGAACCAACGCTTGCAATTGTGTCGTTGCTTCTTCCTAGCGTGCGTCCACTCGCGGAAGGTTGTCCCAACCTCTCTGGGCGCGTCGTCTAGACCTCTGCATGAGCTCCCAAGACGCGA